CAAATACTTTTTTAAGTAAAGTCCTTTATTTTTAACGATTAAGCTGTGCAATGGCCCTCTTTTGTTTTAGTCTGTGCACTTGGAGGAAGTCTGCCATACGCTCAAAGTAGCAAAGTCTCATGTGACATTTCATAAATTGATAAAATATGAGTTTTTGTGGCCTTATAAAGCACTCTAAAAATGAAATGTTGGATTTACTTAACCATGTTATGTGACCTGGTTCCACTTGACTGAGTTGAGTAAATTCAAAGCAATATACCAGTTTTGGTTAAGTAAATCCAACATTTCATTTTTAGAGTGCTTTATAAGGCCACAAAAACTCATATTTTATCAATTTATGAAATGTCCCATGAGCCTTTGCTACTTGAGCGTATGGCAGACTTTCTCCAAGTGCACAGACTAAAACAAAAGAGGGCCATTGCACAGCTTAATCGTTAAAAATAAAGGACTTTACTTAAAAAAGTATTAATATTTCATGTATTATATAACTGCATTTGGCCCCCAGCCCTAGATAGATTTTCATTTTGGCCCCCTCGGGGAAAATGTTTGGGCACCCCTGTCTTATAGGGAAGTTTTAGCTGCTATGGAGTGTTATCGGTTGCTACTGTCTCAGGATGATGACATCATAACATGAGCCGAGCACCAACAACAAAGGCTGCGTTCCATTCCAAAATACCTAAATGTGAACTTCAGCATTTAAGTTTTAACTTTTAGATTTAGATTTAAACATTTAGAAATAGGTTTTAATATTTAAATATATTTTTAGCACCACGCACGAGGGACAAAAAAACAGTTTTATCACATTTTCTCAGCATATAGTTGATTAGTCTGCAGAATAATCACTGGTTACTCAGGTTCATGAAGGTAACTTGTTCTGTGTTCTCAGCTGCTTTATTACTACATGAGGTTATATGATGCAGAGGATATTTTGTGATAAAAGTATCATAKGATGCAGTCAAGACTAAATRCTGGTGTGTAGAAAAAAATAAGAATGATGGAAGTTTCAGTTATGATCTCAAAGTTCAGGTTAAAGTCTGGTTTTCAGTGTTCWACCTTCATAAAATTCAAWTCAAAAATACTTTATTGATCCCAGAGGGAAATTTGGTAAATATTGAATTTATGACTTGTTTATTCCAAGAATGTATTAAAATGCCTTCCAAATGACTGGAAAATACATAGTTTTGAGTAAATCTTTAAAAAAAAAATTCTGAGTAGGTGTAACCCTACACCCCCCTAGAACTGCCTCGCTCCACAGTTGCTCCAACRCCTTAAAATCTAAGCAAAGAACGACTCCAAGCTACAGCGCCAAGTTTGAGCTCAATATTAGTAAAACGAGTGAAATGTAGCCAATTTTATGTTGGCTAAAGTTTAGCCGTGTCTACCTTTCAGAGTGATAAAGTGTCATATAGGTTGCTTTTTTCCTGTTTAAACATTTCTAAAAAAAAACATATTTTTCTTAAAAAAGTCGTTTTTGTCCCTTATCCTTCCTGTCAAGCAAATATAGTGTTAAAGCTCTGCTCCCTCTAACTTTGTGTTGATGGATAATCACTTTCCCAGTAGGTTATGTAACCGTGATGAGCCAACAGCGTCTGTCGATCCATCGTCCCGCCAACCTGACCACACATGTAACACATGCCAGACCTTCCCCCGTCCCACCCCTCCACCGTGCCCTCTAAACCGCCCCACACCACTCGTGTGAAATAATCAATGTTAAAAGCCTTTTTTTTTTACTTTGCACAGGCTGTGAATTCCTCCCCACACACTCCAAACCCCAGCAGACACACACACACACACACGTACGGCTCACCAGAGGTTTAGAGGTCACAACACAAGGACAAGAGTTTAGTCCGTAAACAACAACAACGAGCCTGTTTCCCTCTCTCCGCTCGTGGAGAACAAAAGCGTACAAGCGAMGGCGTCGATTGTGTTTCGGGAAATAATTACTCTCAGTTTGAAGCTTCCTTTACAGGGCCACTTCAAATCCAAATCATCTAATCGTACGGGGCTTGAGGCACTCGTCTGGGAGAGCTGCGGAAGGCTTTCTGCGATGAGATGTGTTTTCATCTCATTTGGCTGATTTTTCAGGGCTGCCAAGTCTCACATCCGGCATGAGATTTTCACCATAATCCTCTCACACGAGAGCAGAGCGCTGGTCGCAGACTGGCAGGCTGAGCTGGATATTAGTGAGATGATAGTAGTTTTTTTCCTCTGCAAACAACCTCTGTGTAAAAAAAAACTGCTAGACGGTAGTAAGAAGTGTGAGAATACAAAGTGAGTCAAAAGTCTCAGGACACCCTTTTATTTCCGAAAACCAAAGGGAAAATGACATTTCTGAATACTCCACCAAGTAATGGTTGAATGGACCTATCTTTTAGACTATGTCCAGAACATGGCCAACATCTTGAAAACCACCATAGTGGATTAAAGTCAAAAACTTTTRGTGGGATGTGGGTCATGTAGCATATCAAAGAAAGCCAGAGTTATTCCAGAAATCTATTGTCGAAATAAGATTTGCAATATCTCTTGTGGTTCARMTSTARTCWWCACAGAAAGTTGCCTGYGATGCACATATTTGACATGTTGGCTGTGTTCAAAACGACAGGCTGGGTCCTCCGGAGGACCCAGACTACCCGGTCTCGGCGGGCCGGGTCCTTGGTAGACCGGGAAGACTGGAAAAAAAGTGTCTGTGAATTTGGACGGTCTAGCGTCCCCTCCTTACCCCGGCGTACGTCATGTCACCTAGCAACTGTGACGACGCTAAAC